ATTAGAAAATATTCTTTTAAAATATATCCATAGAATTTTTCTATGACTTTCGAACTATAAGTAAATCTTGAAGCGATTCAATTTTTTTTTTTTTATGAAGGAAAAACTCTGAAATAGTACTTGTTTAAGATATATCAAAAAATTTTTGTCATTTCAGTATTGATTATAAAGGCTTTCCCTCGCCAAATTTTACAGTTTCATGGTAATTTTGGACAACAATCTATTTGAAAACATCATTTGCCTTTATGTAGTAGAATGTGAAATATGTCAAAGAGAATTGGGGCAGATTTCAGGAAATGGGTAGCCTAATGATATGTCGTCTATAATGGGAGGGGCCAGGTCACGAAGGATTTGTCTTCTTTTCACTCTCTGAAAATGAAACGACTTTCTGCAAGCATTTTGGAACTTTAATCCGGATCATAAGTGTTCTACTTTTTTCATGGATTAACCCAATTTCTCTATTTTTGCATCATTTCGTATAGTAGAGATTATCCCAAGTACTATATATTTGCAGAACTTATTTGAGATTGTTTTGATCTTCAGACAAATACGATGTTTGTCTCAAGAGAAAACTTTTTTGAAGTCCTGTCAAGATTCACTTACAGCTTAAAAGTCAGAGAAAAATTCTACGCATATATTCTCAAAGAATATAAAATTCTGATTGTAATACATTTGCGAAAAATAGTCAAACATTCGAAACATTCCATAAAGTTGTTTTGTTTTTTTTTGTCTTTACCTTCCGATTTCTTTTGGCAATTCGGCAAGTGAAACATCATTTAATGTTAATTGATTTAATTGATGAAGATGGATTATACCAGATGGGAGACTAAAAAATTTTTGAAAATCAATACAAAAAAAGCAAAACTTTATGTTAATTTACTTATTTGCCAATGGATTACCACTAAAATCAAATTTTTGTAATGATTTACAATGACGAATATTTTCTGGAATTTCTCCTATGTCTAAAAAAAAAATTAAAATTTATGTTTTTTCAAAATACAAAAATAATCTTTTTTTTGATTTCTACCATTTCTTGAACAATCAAGTTCTTCAAGATTAACTAATTGTCCAATTTCAGGTAATAAACGTTGAATTTCATTATCACTAATTGTTAAACGTCGTAATTGAATTAAACGATAAACACCCTAAAAAACAAAAAAAATAAATTTTATTTCATAGATTTATTAATTTTTTTTATTTCTTATTTAAAATAATAACCTTGGGTAAATCTTGAAGTTGATTAGCATCAAGTAATAATTCTTCTAATGTACGTGTATAACGAAGAACATCATCTGGTACTGATGTTAAATTACAATGACGTTTATCAATTTGTTCTAAATTTCGATTACAAAATGGTAATGGAAAACACTTGAACATGTCTTATGGATTTATATTAATTGAAGAGAAAAGAAAAATCAATGAATGTTCTTGATTTATCTGACTAGCCCTAAGCATTGTCAACGCTATCTTGTCATCGACAGCATCTTATCTAGAATAATAAATAGATTTATAGTTATATTCTCACCTTCATCATATAGAACATGATGATGAAAACAGGTTTTTATCATGTTTGTCTTGTTGTCATTTCCTTTTGTTTTTTTTTCAATCAAAGACAGAAGATGAAATTTTTTTTTTTTTTTTTTTTTTCTTATATGCTTTCAATATATATGTGAAGTTCTTCTCCATACGCACGCTCGGGACGACGTTCATCGCGTGTCTAAATGTTCTGTTAAATGAGCCGACCGATGTGATGGTAAAAAAAAATATAGAGAGAAAAGAAGTGAGTGAGAGTATAGCACAAGAAAATTAAAGAACGATCCCCTTCTAAAGCAAAGAGAAAGGAAAAGAGAAGAAGATATGACTATATAAAAAAAAAAAAGAACAAGGGAACAGAACGAACGAACATATAAGCAACAGATGAAATGATGATGAGCCAAAACAACTCAAACAAACATGAGATGATAAAAATAGAGCGAGGAGAAAGAAAGTCAGTTACGATTCTAATCATCACACTAATATTAGTCTGTACTAACATGATAACGAACGAATTTATTAAGATCAAAGATCATTATGCTAGAACCAAAAAGAAAAATAAAACAACAACAATGATGATGATCAAATTAAGTTTGGCACTTTTTGCCTTAAAGTCAAACAAGACTAAAGATGTATAAAAAAATATCTTTGAGAATAATTTATTCTAATTTTTCCTTTTTTTTGTTTTCTTTCTCATCTACAACGGTAGTATAGTAAATTGTTATGATTATGACAAGTAAATATGAATTTTGACACATTTGCTTATTTATCTCTTTGTTCTTGTTCCGAATGACTTTTTTTTTTCCTTTGTGACGACTATTCACACACTATGTCAACGTCTTTATTTGTATATAAAATACAACAAAAAAAAATCGGATAGCGTTTGCATTAGTGCAACAGCTTGAACGAAGAATGACGCAGAAACGCGAACGCATTGCTAACATTATTATTATACTAATAAAGCAAGACACGAGAATTTCTCTTCTAGTGGAATTTAGGGCAATATATAGAGAAATGAAGTTACATTTGCTAGTTGAAGTTATTATTAGACCGATGAATGATTGTCTCTTCTTTCGTTTCTTTTTCCTATATATGTGGCCCTGTGTCGTACAGATAATGATGACGTTACTAAGTGAAAAATATGTGTGGGTGAACAGTAGAATTGGTAAGAAACTCTATATGTAAAATAATAACAGATCATAATAAACGAATTATTGTTAAATAACCAAATTTACTACTATATTCTAGTAAAAATTTTAAATAATAAAAATACATTAGATATTATTTGATTTTTCATTGATCTAGTTAAATGAATATTAATTGAAATATTTCTTTTTTTTTATGTAATGAAAACTTTTTCTTCTTTCTCTTACCATTAATCATCGATTGGTTGACTAAAATAGACCAGAGAGAGAGAGAGGGAGAGAGAGAAGAAGAAAAAACGAACAAGTACTCCTTATAACAAGTCAAACGAAGGAAACAACAATAACGAAGAAAAAGAAGAAAAGAAGAAGACCTTCATTTATTCTTGACTTTCTTTTTTTTATTGTTTCTGTGTTTGTTTTGTTTTTGAGACTATGATTCTGTTTTTTTTTTTTTTTTTTTTCATATTCCATTTCTTCTTTGTCTCATCAATAAACTATATCCAATCATTATTTCAATTCTTTGTCGGAAGATAATAACCAATACAAACATCAAATATTCGATACAGATGTCACTATGATCTATCACTCTGCCTTCCTATTTCTGTTATGAAATCTATTTATATTTTTCATGAACAAAAGGAAAAAAAAAAAAAGGACTAGAACATGAATGACTGAAATGGAAAATTCATAGTATTTTCTTTTTGTTCAATCAGAAAACGATTCAATGATTCGGAAACAACGTTGTTGGACACCTGAAAGTTCCGGTTCCGTTAAATCAAAAAGAAAAATATCGTGACATTTCTTTTTGTTTTAAAAACCTTTTTTTTTTTTTTTTTCGAAGTTTTTTATGAAAATCGGAAATGGCATGTACATCAAGTTCCGTACATTAAAAATCTTTTATATAGATATTCAATTTATTTTCTTATAGAAATCAAATCTTTAATTAATAGTTTTAGAACCAATAATTACTAGTAAAAAAAAAAAGAAAATATACTTTATTTGTATTTTTTGTTCATGATTAAAATAGAGTTCGATAATGAAATTATAGATTAAACAATGTAACATTTGTCATAGGAAAAACGTAAAATTTTTTGAAATCGTCTTAGTAAAAAAAGTATCCGCGGGGGTTTTAATAAATTTCTTCATTCATGCATATTTTATGTACGAGAAGATCATTGTATAATATATTTATACTTTTAAGTGGCGAAAAAAAACATAGAGTCGGAACTCTTGAGATAAAAACCTATTAGAAAATATTCGGTTTTTTATTCTGACATTGTCATGTTCTTTATGATACAAAACTTACATAATGTCTTTGAAATAAAAGTAAAATTTTAATGGAAAATTAGTTTCAATTTCCTGTGAATGATGAAGTCTTTTTTTCTTTTCATTTATTTTTTTCTTTTTTCTATGGAAATATCATTAAAAAATTACTTTGAACTAATCAATGAAAAATTAATCCTTGGTTGTGACACAATGAAGCAGAAATCAAAAAAGTCTTTCACAGAAAAACAATATACCGCTCACATAATGTTAATAAAAAAAAACAAGTGTATGACCTCATGATAACATTTTCTCACATGCTTTTATATTAAAGTGTTCTCCGTTATCTTTATCTAAATAGAGAGACATAAAATTATTTAAATATCAGAAGTCAATTCACAATATCGTCTATTCGTTGCATTATTCACCTTTTGTTTTTTTTTTTGCTTAGTCAAATTTTCAAAATAATTTAATTATTGGAAATGTGTGAAATTAACTGAAGAATATATGAATGTCGTTTTTTCTTCGGCTTAAGTTATTTTTAAGTCTACGAAAAGATTTATTATTTTTCTGATTATTTTTTTATTCTTTATCAAAACCTCAATGTTGATGAAAACACTCAAAGAACTCTTGATAAAATACGCCTACAAACATATATGCTTCATTAATAATATAATATAGATAAATGGCTATTTAAAAACATGAAACAGCATTTTTGTATCTTTTCTATTTCATTTATGTTATAAAATAATCATTGTAAATGTAGGCGTATGTCATATTCAAGGTCATTACATAAGAAATATAACATACAAATCTATCTTAAAGATTTCTTTTATTTTTGTTATTTGGTCAACTTTATCTAATGAATTATCAATACAATTAGAAAAAAAAAAGAAGAAATATTTTGAAAGATCTAAATTTTTATTTCATTGTTTCTTATTCTAAATAAAGAAACATTTACAAGTACAATAGAAAAAAAAAAACGAACAGATGGAATTGAGATTCCAATGAATTAAAAAAAAGACAAGAGAAAAACATTGCACTATAAAAATTTATGATCTATTGATTATATAATAATTGTTGAAATTTAAGAGTTTTTAATAATTCTAACATTGAATCAAGTTCAATATGAAATCGTTCAATTTCTTGATTTTTTTGTTTAATAATCGCACGTAATTTATTAACATCATTATTTGTATCTAAATCATGTTGTTTAATTAAACTATTTGTATAATCTTTAGTTATTTTATCACGTTTATACCAACGTTGTTCTAATTGATTTATTTTATTTTGAAGTTCTTGAAAATGTTTCATTTCCTAAAAAACAAAAAAAAAAAAGAAATGAAAAAAAAAAAACAATCAAATAAAGAAAAAATAGTACAGGTGTATGATAAGTTCGAGCATCAGCTAGTTCTTGTTCAAGTCGATGAATAGTAGATTTTAATTCATCATCACGAACACGTAATATTGCTAATTCTCGAGCATTTTCATCAGCATTTTCAGTTAATTTCTATATAAAAATCAAAAAAAAAAAGAAAAAGAATTTTTCATCTTGTTGAAAATAACAAAAAAAAAAATACTTTAAGATGTATAATAGTTGCATCTTGTAATTCAATTTTTCGTAGAAGATCACTAACACGAGTTTCAGTTGTATTAGTTGACATTTCATTAATAATTGTTTGTAATTCTAATTTATGTTGTTGACGTAGACGTAAAATCTTTAGAATAAAAATATATAATAATAGAGATGAAGATTAAAAGTTGGTATTTTTTTTACTTCTTCATCTTTTTCACGAATTGCTAATGCAATAGCTGCTTGTCGATCATCTCTTAAATTCATTAATTCACTATATTGTTGTTGAGAATCATGTTCTAATTTTTCTACCTGAAAGAAAAAATCATCAAATTCTGAGGAATAAAAGTTTTCTTAAAATTTGGTTAATTAATGAAAAAACATGGTCATCTTGACCCATAGACATAGCAGTTACTTATTCTGATGTAATGTAACATGTTTTTGTTAAAATAAATTATAAATGAGAAAATCTATAATAATACTATCGATTGCAGAATTTTAAAGTATAATTTAATCATTGTTCTTTCATTTCAATTGTATGGAATTGTTTATGAATTTAATATGAAAAAAAAATGAGAAGTAATGAAAGAAAAATAATATAACTAATGGAATATTAAAATAGAACTCAAAGTTATTTTAGTAAATATATGGATATTTTAATTCTTTTGTTACTCAATCCTATTGAGATACGATAAACAACATAGATTTTTATTTCTTAAAATCAGTCGTACACAATAGTTTAAGTTACATTTATTTCATGTTTGATTTTATAATTAATATGCTAGAACTATAGAGTTTCTTTATTTACAATAATAAATTCTGAGTTTCAGAACGGATTAAAAATAATCCATGTCGATAATACAAAGATTAAAGTATTTAGACGTCTATAAAAAAAACTTTAGCTCAAAGTACTTGCTTTTCAGCTTTGACGAATAATTTACATAGAACTATGAGCATTTTGCATAAATATACAAGGATAATTGGAGTCATCAATTATTGACTTTTCAATGGTAAATAAAAATTGATTTACTAATCTTCATCAATGACAAAACTGTTTGCTTTTGAAGTATTCATATATCATGGTATAAATTGTAGGAAGAGATATGGTCGATCTATGATTATGATAGTAATCTTACGAAGAAACATACCTAAATGTCGAACACCGTGTTCGATGTTATGTTATGATTACGAGTAGGTATTTATTAGAATAAGTCAAACTTGAAAGAATTCGAGCTCATAGCCTATTGATAAAAACCTATAGCTGTTTTAATAAAACTCTTTCTAACAGCAAGATATTTCAGAAAAAACCAAAACAAAAAGTTTTGATCTGAAATCAGGTCCATAGACATGTGTGATAGTCATTAGATATTCGTCAAAGTTTCAACGAAAACAAACATGTCTCTGTCGAGATTTTTGATTCCTAAGTAGACTAATTCTTATGTCCTCATATCGTAAATTGCTGGTTCTTTTGGTGATCAAATATATCGAGAAAGACACGTTCGTTTTCGTTGACACTTTCAGGATTATTTCATAATTATCAAATGTGTCAATAAGCAAAACTTCAGCTTGAAGCTCTTTATTTTTGAATTTTCGGAAATGCCTTACTCTCAAGAACGGTTTCATTAAAACAGTCATAATTCTTTAACAGCAAACTATGAGCCCAAGCCTTTTGAAGTTTGACTTGGCTTCGCTGAGATATCGATATATTACTTTACAAGAAGAGCAAGAAAAAAGATTTAAACCGTTGAATTACGTAATATTACAATGATCTCTTTAACACGATCAAATTCATGTGAAAGAAAAAAGCTTAGAAAACTTTCTGATATTATGAGCGTTATTCTGTTTTATGAAGTTAACAGTTTCAATCTACTAAACATACTTTATCAATTATCGAATAAATATTTTGGTTTTTGTACTCAAATTTATAACAGTTCAATGGTTTTTTTTTTTAAGTTTATGTTATCAAAAAATATTTACCAAATGTTTAAGTTGTTCATTTTCTGCACGAACTGTATCAACAGACGATAAAACTTGTGTAAATCGATCTGGTTGGTATGGTTTATTACCCATGACTACACGAAAATTTCATAAAACAAAAAAAAAAAATTAATTTTTTTTAATATTTAAACCGAATATCTTACTTGCTAAACGAGTTTTTTCACGTTCACGTTCAGCTAGAAGACTTTTATGTTGAACAGTAACAGCATCATATAAAGCACGAAGTTTTTCTAATTCATCATTTTTTCGTTCAAGATCTGAACGTAATAATTTAATTGTTTCTAAATCACGTTTTAAAGCTAAACAATAAAAATAAAATCAATTAGGACAAAAAAAAACAGGAGATAGTTTTTTTTTGAAAATTTTACATTTAGCTGGTTTTGGTATTTGTTCTACTTTTAATTTTTCTAATTCATTTTTTAAACGTTCATTTTCACGTCTTAAATGAATTTGTCCAGATAAAGTTTTATTTTTATTTAATACATCATGAAATTGTTTTTCAATTTGTTCATTATTTATTATTTGTTGTCCATTATTTTTAGTTAACATTTGTTTCATTAATGAATATTGTTCTTCAAGTACATTTAATTCATGTATAAGTTTTTCTTCAGATATTTGTCGTTCACGTAATGCTTCTTCAGCTTTATTTAATTTTATTTCTAATTGATTTCTATCATCTAAAGGATTTAATACCATTCCTACTTGAGTTGTTGAATTTTGTTGACGACGACGATTGATTAATTCTAAAAGAAAAAAAAAAACAAAAAGTTTTATTCAAAAGAGTAGAAATAAGAAATAATTCAAAATATATTATCAATACACTTGATAATCTACAATAGAAGCCTATTTTTTTCGTTAGATTCTTCCTCTCATTCAAGAAAGTCTCTTAACTAATTAATCGCTTTTGAGTCAAGACTATGTACGTCATATAATCCTTATGAACTATAAATATCCTGTTAATCGCTCGAATCCATAACTAATTCCTGCAAAGACATAGCAGTTTTGTGGTATTTTTTTAACTGAATGTCATGATCTTCCTCAGGAACATTCGAAGAACTCATTTGCAAATGTCAACTAGATGCTTTGCGTAGAGATAGGCTTCAATGAAAATAGTTTATTGTATGAATTTCAAATCTTTTCGTTGCTCTTTTCCTATGATATGGCTATGATCACAGTTTGTCTTTTACTTCATTCATATACATAGACAGATTCTAATGTTCTTATTTCAGGATATTAGCAAATAACAAAAACCTGACAAGTTCATAATAAACTTTTAAAAACTAAGAACTGTCTTCGTGTAAAGTTCGAAAGTTAATTTTTCTGATGTTTCTAAAGAGAGCTGTCATATTCAGTTAACAATTACCATAAAAAATACAGTATTTTCGCCCGAATCAGCTAAGGACCCAAGCGTATTTTACAGTATTCACAAGTTATTAGAATCTACACAATGCACATAATTCTAGCTCAAAAGTGATTAATCTGTTAAGAGACCTTCCTCATCAGTCTACTTTGAGAGGGTCTTTAGTACAAATCATAGCACAAAGAAATTAGTTTGTAGACAATATGCACTACATGTCAAGGTGAAAGTTAGACATGTACTTTGGTCGTTTGAGGATGAAACTGAGAGTTGATATTTTTCTTCACTTCGCTCTTATATAAAAATAAATTGTATATATATGCTAAAGTTTAGTGTTATATTGACAGAGAAATTTATGTGAAAACTAGAGTTAGTCTGTAGATCTATGTCGAATCAACAAAGTTATGAATGTCAAAAATGTATAATACATACCTAATTCTTTAACTTGTCTTTCAAGATCTTTAATACGTCTTTGATCTAATGAACGTATAGTATCATCATTTTCATTTTTATATTCTTTATTTAATGCTACTGTTAGTTTATTTTTTAAAACAATTATTTCATTTTTTAATTGTTGATTTTCATTGAAAGTATTATTTTTATCATTATCATTATTAACTAGATTTGTTAAAATAATTGTTGATGATTGTTTTTTAATTGTTCCTACATGTGAATTTTGAAATTGTTCCAAAAGCATTTTTGTATGTATTAATTCTTGACGAAGTTTTTCATTTTCATCAAACATTGATTGTTCAATTTGTTTATGTTGTTGTTCAATTTGTTTAATTTGTTTACAAAGTTTTTCATTTTCAATTTGATAACCATCAATTAATTTTTCTAATTCATTTACTTCACGTTGTTTTGGTGGTATAGATTCATTTTTTCCATCACCAGTTGTTGATGTTAATTGTGTTATCTAAATATATTCGTCTACAAAAATAACAACAACAAAAAAAGGAAAAATACTTTTGCTTGAAGAGTAAAATTTTGTTGTCGAATACTACGCAATTGTTCTTCGTAATTTTTTTCTAATGATTCTATTTTATTTATTAATGATTCTTTTTCATATTTTAACTGTTCAATTAATGCTGAATCATTCTATTGAAAAGAAAAATAATTAAAAAGTAAAATAGACAAAAATTAAATATTGTACATTTTTATTTTCTTTTGGTGTTGGAATTGGTGTTGGTGCAGTTTTTGGTCGAGAAACAGCACTTGGTGATCCTATTTTGAGAATTATTTCGAATAGGAAAAGAAAATTTCGAAATTTCATACCTTTCTTTACTGGTGTGTGAGTATTCGGTTTGGATAAGTTGCTAGTTACTAAAGATATTTTATTAAATAATGAAATGATTTAAGGATATCTGCACTCATTCGAACCAACTCTGATATTCTACGAGATTACGAAAAGTTGGACTCGACTTTTTATTATAGCTGGATTATCGAAAATTATGGGATCAATATTCGAAGTTAAAAGCATATCTTCATGAGGCTTTGAAGGCATATTCAAAATCATCAAGTGTATCTATAGTCCCATTTTTTAATTTTTCGATGGGGCTGAACTTTTTTCTGGAGATACCTCAAACAAAGTAGCAATAGGGTTGCCACCAGGCCTAATGGTTGTTTTTTAATGATATCTTTACAAACCCTTGAAGACATGATTTCAAAATTTTTTCTTCAAATATTCACCCTAATATTTTCGAATATTTAGGTATAATAAAAAGTTAAACCTGATTGATTATACTTTCACGAAGAGCCAGAAGAGTGTAGCTATCTTTCAGGTCAATGTCTCAAAAGTCGGTTTCGTGTTAGATATATTCAACTCGCCTAAGATTTTAAGGATGTGCTGAAATTGAAATGAAACAGCCATTGAAAACATTTTTAGCTCTATACCATGAAGTTTACGAGAGATATTCATCAAGCAAGAGCAAAAATAGCTCATTTTGACAATTCGAAATTCTCTGTCAATTTTCATTATATATATGTTTAACCTTTCGTTTGTTTGAAAGAGCATCGTGAAATACAAAGCTCTTTTTTCTAATTTTTAAGCAAAGAAAAAGGAATAACAAGTTGAATATCTCAAAAAATAACACTCTTTTATGTAATAGTAATAAAGCATAACTCAAAAACTAGATACGACGATTGCTTACATTCTAATGTCCTCTTTCAAATAAAAACAAAATTAAATTATAGAGAATTTCGAATTGTGCAATGAAACGATCACAAATAGAACAAAAAAAGAAAGTTTCGAAAAGAAATTTTACGATATTTTAGTATTTTTAGGCACTTTTGTCGTAGATTTGAAAAGATTGATCACTAATTGCCATATATATTTTTGAATTGTGTGTAAATAAACTTCGTTTGTAGGTTGTTAAACTTCATTAAATATGTAGTTTTACTTTTCACGACATGAACACAGAGGATTTAGTTGACAATGTTCTACAGAAGTCAACTATAAATTGTCAAGTCGTCGTTTTATGAAAAGCTATATTTATCACAATTGTTTCCCGCCATTATCAAAACCAAAGTAGTAATTATGATTTATGAATAATCAATAGAGGAGAAATGGTAAAAGATTATGTAACGAATAGTAGATGGTCATAATATGTACCGATCATACTGGGTCACATAGTTTTTGATGGCTTGCTTTATTTTTCTCATCATCACTAGATGAGCTTTATTATTTTTGCTTTTTATGAACGATGATGAAATTTATGAAGATGCTTATTATTTAAGCGGAAAATGACGGAAATCATCAAAATATTAGCTAAAGAATGAAGTGCTAATTCATAAATCATGTTGTTTCTGGAAGAATAGAACTCAGTCTATCCTCTCATGCATTGAATTCAATTTTCATTTTGTTGATGAGAATTCATTGTTTTTTTTTTCGAAAGGAAGGAAGAATGGCCTTAATATCTAATGAAAAAATAACTGAAAAACATGTTTACTCAGTTTCAGTCATTCAAAAAAAGATTGTTGAATTATGAAAAAAAAAATCATTAGACTAAAACAGAATTTAGTAGTCATTTCGAATATACAAATAAAATTTGTGTCGAACTTCTGTTTCGAATTCATTTGTCTATAGACTTGGAAATTACTTTTGAATAGACACAACTGATGTTTTTCTTTTTTGCAGTTATAATGTCATTCATGGAATATGTCATATTAATAACATGACACCGGATAGAAATGAAAAGGTGAAACTATTCATGAGCAAAGAAAATGTGTTTTCAAATAATGATTTATGAATGATCGGTATCGCATTTTAAATTCTATTTTACATAGAAATTATGAAAATTCTACAACAAATCTTACTAAGATGTTCATTATTGAAAAATAATTAGCAGAAAAATAATGTGTTTCGTATTATTTTGTAGACAAATGTTTGCCTTCTATTTTAGTATATTCGAAATAATTTTTGTTTCTACATAAGATGATATTTTACACGTTGGAGTTGATTTTCGAAACTTTTAAAGATCGACATTCGTAATCTTATAATAAATTCTGATAGTAATCTAATATTTTAAAATTCAATAGTCGTCTTAGAGATGCTGAACAATGTGTTATTGTATCGTTTATTACTTATTGGTTTTTGTTGTTGTATTTTCTTATTTGAATCAACTGTATGAGTTCTTGATGTACGTGTTGTTGGTGTAGACTTGAGATTTTGTTTATAAGCATTATGTAACATATTTAAATCACGTGTCATCTCGCTTGTTGTTGAAAGTTGATCTAATTGAAAAGAATTTCATAATTAGATATGTTACAATATGATTACATCTTTATTATTATTACACAAGAATAATTAAGACATATTTTTTACTTTTATTATTTTATACTGTGATTAAGTAATAAAAGAACAGAAGAAATACAATGTAACCTACGTAATCTCTGAAACACTAGACGATTATTTATTCTCATATTTGCATTGTAGTTTTAGCTATATCTTTCATATGTGGATATTACTTATATTTGTGTACGAAAACTAGATCGTTCGATAATTTCAAAACAGTACTCATGTTACCTTTGAAATTGATTGTGATTGGTTGTCTGTTTTTCATGATCATAGACATAAAAAAACGATAGAACATTAATATACATCTGTGATCATGATAAGAAAACAAAGCAATCAAAATAGATAGATTGATCGTGCCTTTGACCTAACGAATATTTTGCGACTGAGAAATAAAAATGAAAAACAATACAAAAGTTTTCGATTCTAACGAAATAGAAAACTTCTTTTAAATCAAAAAAAAATGGTTCATATATTTCTTACAACAAAACATTATATTATTTTGTCGTTTATTATCGGTACAGAATTTTTCTTGAAAAACTTGTCTATTTTTTGTTGATAGGTATCTATGATAAGTGGTGCCAAAGTCTTGAGTAGAATATCGAAATATATTTCTCAACAAATGTACCATTGGATTAACTTCGATATTTTTCATTTGAAACAGCAAAGTTTGTAGAGTATATACATAAAACAAAATGATTCACAGGAATGCACATCTTTTTGAATATCGTTCACATTTCCGATTTCCTTGAGAAACCGAACGGGCAAAATCGTTCCTACAGAATACTATTAGCAGTTTCTAATATTCAAATAGCTTAAAATAACATTTTTACTTCTACGGTATGAGAATGAATATTCGGTTAACGACTCAAATTACTTCTCTAACTACTAGAGATGCCTCAGACACCTATAGGGTTCTACTAATAAGATACTGAACATGTCTGACAAACGAACAAAATCAAACCAAATGTATAAATACAAATAATCCAACCTTTTTCGGCGGATGGAAGGTTGGATCATGTTGTCGAAACCTGTTCAGAGTGTAAGAAGCATTTCGAACTGTACGGGATCATCAATCACGTCAAGACATGCTTGAAATTGTGGTGTAAACAGCATAATATTCATGTATAACGTAGCAACAGTCTCTTGATCGAAGAAGCTATGTTTCATATACTATTATGGACAATGATGGGTATCATCGAAACTAAGTCGTCGCGGCCTGGAGATACAGTGTGGAACAATAGTCAGAGTGTGCGAAACCATCGACAATCACATGGAACATTTACCGAACGAATATTCTTGCATTTTTAAGAGTGCAGAAAGACTTTTGCCTTTTCTTTAATTGTACTATATTTGATTTTTACCTCAAACCGAAAGGAAAAGGATATTAAGCAATTGACTTCCACTATATTACTTTACAATTATTTTATTACTTATTATTAGTGATGATATTGTACTAGTTCTATTACTCAATAATTTATCTTGAAGAAAAGTTTACCTGATACTGTTTTAGTTGTTCGACTAAAATCATCGACTGATGCTGATGGACGAATTGGAGGCTCAGCAATAGTAACATGTTTAATCGTTGTTGTTGCATTCATTTTCTGCTCTTCGTGTTCGATTTCACGATCAAGTTCATTTGATAAAGATTCTGTAAACAACATAGAAAACAAATGTTGTTGTTGGTTTTTTTAAAATAAAGAAACGTTTTTTTTAATGATTACCTTTAACAGTATTATTGTTCGGTTGATGATGAAGCGGTGTACTCATTTGATTAATTTGTTTATCAAATGAATTTATCACTATGTTTTTTTTTTTAATTATTATAAAAATTTAGTTTTTCTCTTTTTACATTTTTTTAAATAGCAAAATATTTTACCTGTTCCATTTCGTGTTGGTGATAAATCGAGTTCAATTTGTTGATTTAATATACCATAATCAATTTTTTTTTCACCATTTGTTTTTTCAAAATTCTAAATAAAACCAAAATCTTTTTCATATTTTAATTAAAAAAAAAAAGAGAAGAGATTTTACTCGAAAAAATTCTGCTTTTTCTTGTTCTTCATCGAGTGTATCAGAACCAAATTTCATTGTGGATAATGGTGTTTCATCTTTTCTATCTATCAAGTCATAATTTGTAATGATTGTTTAACGAAAATAGAAGTTTATTTTTTTACTTTCACCCGGCATAGTACTCCCAAGCGAATCACCAACCAAACTATAAATAAACTAAATTATTTTCATTATAAAATTTAATTTATATTACCTATATTGTTTATCTGGTTTTGTTAATGGATTTAATGGTCTTTTTATTTCTGTTAAGAGATCAAAAATGATAAAATAATTAAAGAAAATGACAGATTAATACCTGACTTTAAAGGATCATTATCATCAGATGATGCTAATTTCATTTCATCTCCAGACTATAAATAAGTAGAAATTTTGTAAGATGAAAAAACATATATTGACTTTACTTTGAGTTCATCTTTTTTTATTGTTGGTCTTTTAATAAACATTCTCTTTGGTGCTAATAATCCTGTCGCTGAAAAAAGGAAAGGAAATATTTCAAAATTATTTTTATTCACTTTGTTTTGTTTTTAATTCCTACGAGATGATTTTGATGTTGTTGATGATGATGATGACATGAGATCGTCATCTTGATAATATTTATCGAATGATATATCAGAATCTATTTGATCCTATGGATAATTAATAACGTTATGAACACAAATAAAAAAAAAACAAATATAGAGTGGTCTGAAAGTCAGTTCAACAAGAAAGAAACTGAACATCATCACTATTTTCTTTCAAAATGGACTGATTTGTTTTCACAACTTATTGAGAGATTCTTAAAAATCAAACATCAATTCTTATGCCGCTAATGTTTTTGAGCAGTTTTCCATATAATTCCCGTTTTGGTTTTACATTTATATAAAAAATTCATGTCGTATTACAGACTGTGTCCTTAAAGTTTCAATCCTCAATGGCGAGAATTGGTTGAAAATACCGTCACTATGTCCAGGATGCTTTTATGTGGAGCAGAAAAATTCTTTTGTGATGATTATCTCGTCATAATTTTTGTTTTGTTTTAAATATTCAAAAGTCAGGGATATTTTCATCCTCAAGTTATCTCATTGACTAAGGATACATCATCCAAGAATTCAAATAGAGCAAGAAATGATAGCAAGACAAGTATTACAATAAATTTCGATTTCAGCTACATAAGCGTTTATGCAGCATATACTTTTCTCAACAGATTTCTCCATATTTATCGCTGAAACTTTAGGGCATGTCGAGAAACAAAAGTGTATCTATGGAATAAGTATGAAACCAAACAGTTAACGAATGTAATATTTATTTTTCTCATGAGCATATAATGTTTTTTCATAACTCATGACAGGTGATTATTTTTCGTTGAAGTCAATGGTGATATTTAACAGAAATATTTGTCGAATATAAACTGTGAACATACCAGTGTCATGCATGGGTACGACTATTCTGAACCAAATCAGCTTGAAACTGATCGACATCCTAGAGATACGTTCACAATTATAATACCAGTTTCAAGATTTTATTTTATATAAAAATGTGTTCTATTTAGTTTCCTTGATAAACAGCAACAAAAATCAAGAGACCATCTCAAATACAATGCTTGTTGCTGATAACGCTGGAATGAAACGTGGTGTTGATGCCAAAAACTATTATAATAGATACATACATGAATATTTTTTCGATCATGATGATATATGTTTAGCTTTTTGATAATTCATTTTTCTCTTCGTGTTCAGTTTATCATATGATAAGTATGATACATTCCTCAATCATGATCGAATCGATTTTCATTCTTATGCTTCTATATTAATAGCAGTTTGAAAAAGTAAAAATATTTTCAAACGTGAAGATCCTGTTAACTACTAAGTCGGATGCGGGTATGGCCTGATGCCCGAGATTCGAACCGATCCGGCAAGTTTGCATCCACACTAGGTGCCGCCAGGTATCCAAGCTGGTTGTAGAACACCAGAACACACTTTTGATAGGGGTGAAAAAAATCAGCCAGATTGCTCAAAATATCGCGATGATGTTCAATTTTTTGTTGGTACAGTGACTTTTGCGTCACTCTCTATATTTTTCACTTACGACATCATCATTTTTCTTTTTTAATATTGATGTTGGTTTTGTTTTCAACATTATTAATAAATCTAAAAAAAAAGAAACAAACAGATGGACAGAAAGTAACAATGAGACAGAATTTCATTTCATTCTTTTTTTGTTCACTAAAACAGTTATTGCCTTGAAAACAAACACGAACAAAGTAGATAGATGAATAATGAAGAGAAAAACAAAGCACAAGCAGTCATGTATTTATATTTGTACAAAAAGAAAGAAAATATATCGAGATTTATCGTTTTTGATTTCTAAAAAACAACAAAAAAAAAAAAAAAGTTTAATTAAAAACAAAAAATAACATAGATAATAGAGTAATGCTTACTTTTGTATTCTTGTATTGGAATTAGATCGAACTTTTGTTTGAACTTCTGAAGAAAATGAAAAAAAAAAAATGTTTTGTTTTTCTTTTGTTGTTTAAATGAATACAACACAAAAAATATATACCTTTCAATTGTCGATCAAGCCGCTCTAATGATTCTTGTACTCGACGTTCTTCTATTGATAAAGTTGTTGGTGCTGTTTGTAATGTGGAATCTTTAAAAAACAATGCTTAAATCAATAAATGAAAAATGTAAACATTCTTAATGATTTATTTACTTTTTGTTACATTCAATTTTGATTCAGTAATTTTATTTGTTGTGTTCGATGGTACTCTAGATTAATTAAGAAAAAAGAAAAAGAAGTGAATCAAAAATATTCCCAACTTTTTGTTTTCATTAAGAACTATTCTCATGAAAATTTCTCTTAAAATGAATATACTTGAGAAATGGTTCCTCATATGTACATGTACATCATGTTCCATTATTGTCTTTTAAATTTTCATATTATTAGAAATGTAGAGTGCAGAGCTCAAAATGAGTCAGCCAACCGGACCCAAAGAGACTTTTTCTCTGCATCGGACAGTCCTCGTGAGCGAGAACCGGTCTGCTGAATGAGCTCAAGCTTTATTTCGTTTTTCAACGAAGATTTCCCGCTTGTAAAAGAGAGACACTTTTCATAGTCGTACTCTAAGTTGTGTCGTCAAGACGTGGCTCGATTTCAAAGTCTGCTAGGGTGTGGATTCACTCTGAACTTCGCACGCACATACACCAGAGGAATCATACGATAGGTTCAACAATAATCAAATTTCCGCACAAGAGTTATTACTAAAATTCTCGTTTTTTTTATTTGTTGAAAATGGAATATAAAATAAAAATTTATTGAATTAATATTATCATCACGATTGCTCACGTCTTAAAGAACATTTTTTTCGAAGAACTATTTCTCAAGGAAATGTTAGCAAAGAAAAACTTTGCACTTTTCATGTAAATCTAGATTAATACCTTCAATTTATAAAATGGTAGATTTACTTACGGTGGTGGTAATCTTGCATCATTTTGACTAAAATTACTACTCGGTATTGAGCTCATTCGTAGTTCACTAAAAAGTGAATCATTTTCATCATCATCATCAATATTTCTTCGTTCATTATTCAATTCATTCGTTTTATTTGATGTTATTGGCTAAAGAAATATTACAAAACAATCTATCTAATTTGTTTAATTCTCTATAAATAAATATTTACCATTGCTATTTGTGGTCGATGTGGTGATGATGTTGGTGTACGTCGTGATGATGGAGAATCATACATAGTTGGTGATATATTTGTTTGTCTTAATGATTGTGCATATCGTGTTTTGTGTAATTTAGTTCGTAAATCACGTTGTTTTAATCCAATAGTTGTATAACCGTGTCGCATCTGACCCGTTGGTGTTAAAGGATACATAGGTGGTTTAGAACTAGCTGTTGATGAACATTCGGAAGCACGATCATCATTTGCTGATGCTTGTCTATAACGACATAAAGATATTGGTAAGCTATGAATATTTTTATAATAAAACACTTGAACAGTGTTCATTCTAATTGAGGCAAGATACTTTTCTATACATGTTTGGTTCAAAAAACAAAATACTGATTTGTATTTACTGAAGAAATACAATATGTCGAGTAGTATAAAAATACAAATTATTCAAAGGATTTACTCTCAGCCAAATTTTTACAAGAAAATCAATATTTTTAGAATAAAGAAATTTATTGAAAGCTCTCGTCAATACATCAAAACTGATCCTGTCTTTTTTGGTTTGCCAACTATTCAGGCCACGGCTTCAAATGTATAGTACTCGGCTTCGAACCGTAACGATAAAATTCAGTACCAAATTTTAATCTTTGACCTATAAAAAATGATGAATATGACATCGAGTGAGATAAGTTCAGATGCACGAATGAGGATCTTCGACGGATTTGTTTATTTTCAAATATTAATTTTCTTGTGCTAATTTGGGTCAAAATGGATCCTTCGAAAATGTAATTAAGTGTTTTTATCGAGAACTTTTGTAACAGAATAACTGGATGTAGAGTTTCATAGTTGAAAATTCTTATATTCTATCAATTGATGTTTGTCTCAAATAAAACGGTGTCAAGAGTAAGTATAAGTGGATGAGATCGTAATTTAGTAGTATTCGTTTAAACATTAGCTAATAACAAAATAAAAGTAACATAATTCTTTTTCGTATGATTATGAGTATTCATGTCACCGACAACATAATTTATCATTTTTAGGTATTGACTTTTAAACATGTTATGTGACTTTTTCTAAAAATGTGTTTTTTATGTAAAGCAACAATTCATAAGGTCTGTTTTAACTTTGTGTTATATTACTACTTGATCTTAAAACAGAAAAACGTTGATAAATTACTCTAAAAAGAAACAAACGAAGCATATTTTCTAAACAACTAAATGACTTGGTACGATCAGTGTAACAAAACATTTTCTTTCTCTCATTCGATCTTATTTTAAAATAATTGTTTATGTCAATTCAATGTTGACGTTATATTTTCTTTAATCTAATAATCTCTAGAAACAACCATAATGTCATTTCACTTCAAGCTATATCAATTTTCTATTAACTATGTAAATTCGAATCTTCCTATTTGTCCTTGTCGAACAATAAAACACATTTTATTACTCTTTTTTTTTTTTTTGTAGTTACTGGGACATGTGAAGTACATTTTCAGTAGGCGACAAACTCAAACGCTAAAAAATATTATCATTATTCTCCAGAGTCAACAAAAGATAAGGCGATGTCGGCTACTTTGTGAATCAAACTTTGATCAACTACACATTTTTTTTTTTTTATTTTCTTTTTTTCATAAACATATTCGTCATGTCTTCATTGATTATTGGACTTGATATTGGAGGTAGTCATGTAACAGCAGCTCTTGTACGTATTGAACAATTATCAAATCGAACTTTATCTATCGAAAGAGATCAATTATATTCACGTCCATATAAAAAATCTATAAATAAAGATCCACGTTTAATTATTTCAACTTGGATTGATTGTATTGATGATCTTCTTCAAAATTTTGTTAATGATTATGAAGAAAATGATACTATTATTGGTATTGCTTGTGGTATACCAGGACCAATGGATTATGAACGTGGTATCAGTTATATTCAATCAACAACATTACATAAATGTAATAGTTTCTTTGGTCTTAATTTACGTTTATCATTTCAATCTAGTCTTAGAGAACTTATATCTCGTTGGAAATATAAGTTTGATGCTAAATATCCTATATCATCATGTTCAAATATATCCTATTTAAAAAAACAAACTATTTCTGAAAAATTACAACAAACAAAACAAATAACCATAAAGTCATCGAAAGATTGTAATACTTCTTTGAATTTTACTGTAGTACCAACAATAAATGGAGAATTTCAAGAATCAGAATTATCAATAAAAGACATGAGAAATTATTGTGCTCTACAAGAAGATAACGATTGTTATGATGAAAATAAGAATATGAATGATTCATCTCATGAAATATATTTTGATGATATAAAAATAAATTTAATAGAAACACCTCTAATAAATGATAATTTTCCTTCAAAATTATTGTCAACTATTGAACAATTATCTGAAATACCGATATCATTCTATAATGATGCAACATGTTTTGCTGTCGGTGAAGCAACTAGTGTTCATAATAGAGATTATGACCGTATTCTTGCTTTAACACTTGGTACTGGTTTTGGTTCAACATTTATTGATCGATGTGAAATTATTAAAAATCATCCTGATGTTCCATCTGGTGGAATGCTTTGGAATTATCCATATGATGAAAATTCAATAGCAGATGATTGGTTTTCCACACGTGGTTTAATTAAAATTTATAATACAATTCTTGAACAAAAATCATTCGAAAATCATTCAGATGTATCAACCAATGAACAACAATCATCAGTTAATACTGATAAAAAAGTAAACATTTTTTTCAACATAAAATATGTATATATATATGAATATCATTTTAGTCAAATATAGTTGATGGCTGTTCTCTTACTGAACAAGCCTCTAATGGTGATCAAAGTGCTATAAAAGCTTTTCAAATATTTGCTCAACGCTTAGGAAACTTTTTAGTACCACATATAAAAAAATTTAAAACTGATCTTATTATTATTGGTGGTGGTCTTGCTCAAGCTTGGTATTTAATAGAAGATGAACTTAATACAACTCTTAAAAATTTTTGTGACGTTCAAGTTTATTTTAGTCTTTCACATGAAAAATCAATTTGTCTTGGTGCTATTCAACAACAATTATCAATATTAATTGAATCAAAAAATAAATGTATTCGACAAACATTTCAAAATCTTCTACCTGTTATTAAAACAATAAATACAGATCAATATGATTTATATCCATGTCATGAAATTCCTATAGGTTATATTGGCGTAGGATATAAACAATTAAATGAAAAAATGTTTCGTTTAATTGAACAACATCAAATATTATTAATTGATGGATTTGTTGGAACATATTTTGATGAATATGCTTATGAATTAAATAAATATTATCATCAAAAAATAAAAACAAAAAATTTATCATCATTAATTTTTTATGATACTCGAACATTTTTAAAAATAGATACAAATAATAAACAAGATTTATATCTTCAATATTCAAAATCAATATTTGGTAAATTAGCAATTGATTTAGATTTTAAAAATGATTTTATTGATTTAAATAAATTAAATTATTTAAAAAAAAATCTTTCATATCCATGTGTTATTATTGGACCTGGTGCTTCATTTATAAATGAAATAAGTCCACTTATTTATATTGATTTAACAAAAAATGAACTTTATTATCGTATTTGTGCAGAAACATCATTTTCTTATTTAAAACCAGCAGAAATCATTCAAGAAGATAATTCATTAAGATCCAACGATGATGATAATGATGATTATGAATTATCATCAGCTGCATATGAAAAAAAATGTCTTTATTTTCTTGATTATCCAATATTTAATAAACTTAAACAAGAACTTTTACCACGTATGACTTTTTATGTTGATGGTCAAAGACCACATTGTCCAACATGGCTTCATGGTCATACATTTCGTCAAGCAATTGCATATCTTGCTAATGTACCTATTCGTGTACGACCATGGTTTGAAGCAGGTTCATGGGGTGGTCAATGGCTAAAATCCATTTGTACAAATATATCACAATTATCAGAAAATTATGCATGGTCATTTGAAATGATTACACCAGAAAATGGTATTATATTATCCGACAAAAATAATCATCTTCTAGAATTTTCATGGGATCTTTTTTATAGTTCACAAGCAAATAGAATACTTGGAAATGATAAACATTATAGATTATTTGGTGGTTCAAATGATTTTCCAATACGTTTCGATTTTCTTGATACAATGGATGGAGGAAATTTATCTATACAATGTCATCCAAATTTACAGTATATGCGTACAAATTTTGGCGAAAAAATAACACAAGATGAAACATATTATATCGTCGAAACAAAACAACATTGGAAAGAAGAATATAAAAATGATAAAAATTCATCTGCTCATGTTTATCTCGGTTTTCATGATAATGTCAATCCTAAAGAATTTCATCAAGCTCTACTTACAAGTCGTCGAGAACACGAAAAATTAAATGTCGAAAAATATATTCAACGTATTCCATCAAATATTCATGATTTTTTTCTTATACCTAATGAAACAATACATGCATCTGGTCAAAATCAAGTTGTACTTGAAATTTCTGCAACACCATATATATATACATTTAAATTATATGATTGGTTAAGATTAGATCTTGATGGTCGTCTTCGACCATTAAATATTAAACATGGAATGAAAAATTTAAAATTTGATCGACATGGTGAACAACTTCGTTCTCAACCGATAACTATGAAATTTGAACAAGATAAATATGAAGAACAACATTTACCAACACATGATTTACATTTTTATGATGTACAACGTCTTATTATAGAATCAAATGAATCTATTGAAATAATTCGTTCAACAGAAAATCGTTTTCATTTATGTATGTTAGTTGAAGGTGATGCAATTGAAATAGAATTTAATACTATTGATAATAATGAACAAAAACAAATACGACAATATAATTATATTGAAACATTTTTAATTCCAGCATCAATTAATCAATATCGTATTAGACCAATAATTAAAAATAAAACTAATGAAAAGAAACATCGACAATTTGTCTTACTTATTGCTTATCTCAAATGGGATTGTGAAAAATTACTTAAATAATTATCTATTAGGCAAAAAAAAAAAAGAACAACTTACTTAATTGGTTGACGATTTGGTGGTGTTAATAATGCCGCTGATTGTACCCGACGTAGTGATGTTTGTTCATTATCTAAAATATTTTAATAGGAATTATTTTTTTTGTTTCTCTTTTTTTGTAATTTTCTATACCAATAACTGGTTCCTTGACAAGTTGTGTATCCGATGCACATCTTTCATGATTAGAATCTTGTGCAAATCGAACAGTTTTTTTCTAAATAAAGAACATAA